CTCTCTCCTTGATTTCACATTCTTGAGCTGCATCTTTTGCATCTTTGCATCTTTTGCATCTCCTTTTTCTTCTTCTTGGTTGTTCATATTATGTGTGTGATGTATATAGATTCTTTCCTTTGCGTTTTTGAGCCGCATAAAAATTCTCTCTCCTCCCCTTTCGTGGTATGCGGCTATGAACCTATGCTATTCTCGATTTTTGGGCATTTAAAATCAAATCTACTTTCCTTTTTTTTCATGATGATTCCATTGGTGCTCAAATTGGCTATGCTACATGCCGATGACTCTGACAACAGAGACAATAGGCAAGTGGCATTGGAACAGAAAAGAAAGCTGAGACTATCCTCCATATCAAAAGAAAGCTGTGATATAATACTTAATACTTCCAGAGAAACCCATGATTGAAACGCCCCAAAATATCGAGCAGAGAAACAGATCATATTCCCATAATCTAACACATCGAATACAAAGTGATATAATACAAGTTTGACTACTCCGTAAGTCTGGGCAAAATCGAGCTAGCCACGCCATCCAATCTCATCTTGCAATCCTATTTATTTCCAGTCTCCTTCCACGGATATCCAACAGGATCATCCTTCCGCGTCCAGATCTTAGTCTTCCTCTTATTAACCACATGCTCAACAAACACCTCGCGCGTGTACTTGGCCTTGTACTTGCGGATCCAGCGCGGGTCCCAAAGTTCGCTCGCGATGCCTAAATCCTTGCAGCAGCGCACGAGCGCGTTTGACCGGCAACCCTCTGTAGCGGTGGGGATACCGTCGGGGGAGAAATAGTCTTGTTCGCCGCGGGCGACGGAGACGAGGCTAGAGTGGAGATGTTAGCTAAGTGTTTGAGTTTTCTTGTTCCAGTTCTACTTTCCCAATACAGCCTGTGATGATTCAAAATCAAGACTGTAGACCGGATTGCATGTAAAAGAAAGGAAAATGTAAATGCGCTTACCGTCCATTACAAACAAGAGCATACTCCCTCGTCACCGTCTTAGGCGTAACGATACTCTCACTCCGCGGCACGAGACCCCACCCGCCAGGACCGAATGCGCGATTAAGAATGCGTCGGTATTTGATCTCCGGCAAGTAGAGGATACCATCGGGCTTGATCTCGACCTCGTCTGGCTCCGTCTCCGCCAGCAGGATATCGGCCGCTTCTTTGGGGAACGGCTCAGCAGACAGGCCGTGGAAGGATCGCGTCCAATCGATTCTCTCTTCGGCTGGGCGCTCAAGCTCGAGTGGTTTGTCTGATAGGCCTGTTTTGGAGATGTTTTCGGTTGTTGCGCGGCTGGGGGTTGCGCCTGGGAGGCGGGATGCGGGGACGCCTGTTGGGATGGGTGTTGAAGATGATGGGGTGGGCTTTGTGGCGGGCGTTGCTGGTGTTGGTGTTGGTGCGGGTTTGGCGGTGTTCTGGTTTTTGGTGGTGTAGCTGATTGCTCTTCTGGTCATCGGGCTGGAGAGCTGGCTGATTCTCATGTTAGGGGCTCTTGAAGAGCGCGAAGGTTGTGTCGCATTTTGAAGGGTCTCAATTGCGCGCCAGGACCGGATACGAAGAGGAGCAGACATCGTGGCTTGTATTGTTGATAGCGGCAGGTGGATGGAGGTCTCGCGAGAAAGCATATATTGGGTCACGTGATATGGATTTGATAGCTTCGTTCTGTCAATGTTGGAATAATCGGGTGAATATTGAGTGGAATTGATTGCAGAGACTATTTGAACATGGTATTATAGGTAGAGTACATTATGCGTCTTTGGTCTGTGTTCGCTGGTCGTTGCCCTGGCGCTTCCAGCACTCGCGGAAAGCTTCCATCTGTGTTGACTAGAGTCAGTATGATCTGGGTAATTGTAGCTATTTGCTGTTCCTTCAATTCGTTGAACTTTGGAAGTTGTATGATGGCTATTGCAGAACTGGCCCTCAATGGCTTTAGGTGGAATGATATATGTTCAGTTCGGTGGATTTTATAGCTCACCTCTTTTTTGCATTCACGCCAGTCCTTCTTTGCGTAGTAACAGTCATTCATCTTATCCTGCTCAGCTGATATGTATTAGTATAGCATTTGTGACTCGAATTGAGTATAAGTTACTATGGCAGCCTGTGCTGAAAATCCGCTTATCCCTGCCATTGCAGTTAGCACCACGCAGACCAGAGACCAGAAACCAAATAAAGGGCCTCACCAATCATCCGGCTCATCGTCATCATCCGGAACAACAGTTGTCTTCTCCGCGTTGTTCGACATGGTTGAGGTATAGCAAGAAAAGTTGGAGAAAGGCGGTTGGCCTCGGCGGAAGATGGAGAACTATGCTTATCGCATGATCTGCCTTCACCACAAAACAACAATGGCAACGCCAACGGGCAACAACGCCAAGTTCAGTGGCAAAAGGCTGAATGTCCTAGTTTATTCCGGTTCGCTCACTTTACTCGGTCTGGCAGCTCACTTGGTCCCGACTGACGACATCTCGATAGGAAATGGAACCACCGTTGACTCAGTCCGTCACTGCCTCTACACCCTCCGCCGCCTACTCGCTCACCGCTATGCCGTCATCCCTGTAACGGGCGATATGCTCCTCAATGAGCCATGGATGACTACGTGTGCTATGCTGGTCATGCCCGGCGGTGCGGATATGGGGTACTGTCGCACACTCAATGGTGCGGGGAATCGGCGCATCGCACAATTTGTCCGTAATGGCGGGCGGTACCTCGGCATGTGTGCTGGTGCCTACTACGGAAGCAAAAGGTGTGAGTTTGAGGTCGGCGATAAGACAATGGAGGTTGTTGGGGATCGCGAATTGGCTTTCTATCCGGGCATCTGTCGGGGCGGGGCATTCCCAGGCTTCGTTTACCACAGCGAGGCGGGAGCACGTGCTGTGGAAATCAAAGTGGTCAAGGGAGCTTTGAACATTGGCACCGTGCCAACCAACTTCCGGTCGTACTATAATGGCGGCGGTGTGTTTGTTGATGCGCTGTCGCTCGCAGATAAAGGGGTAGAGGTTCTTGCGAGCTATACTGAAAAATTGAATGTCGACGGAGGGGATGGTACGGCTGCTGTTGTCTACTGCAAAGTCGGTGATGGAGCAGCAGTTTTAAGCGGACCTCATCCTGAGTATGTTTTGGATTTCAATTGGGAGGATTAAGTCACTGACTTGTGACTAGATTTGCGGCTGCTAATTTGGACCCGAAGGAGGGCGGTCCTGAATATGCGGACTTGGTGGCGGCTATCGCTGCCGATGACAAGGAACGAACGGACTTCTTGAAGGCTTGCCTGTCCAAGCTTGAACTTGAGGTCACGCAGGACACGACAACAGTGCCTTCACTGTCATCCTTGCACATGTCTGGAGTCGATGCCGATGGTCCCATGGATATCCTGTCGGGTCTTGGAGCTGCATTTACCCAAGAGGGTCATACTGAGTATCTCAAGGATGACCACGATACGTTCCGCATCGAACGCCCTGGAACATGGAATCTGGGTGAACTAGAAGAAGCACTCCCCGCAAGATCCTCGGAGTCTACCGATGGTATCATTGATTACCAGGCAATCATTAAGCGACTTGTGTTCCACGATGATATACCATCTTCGAAACTGACTCCATACTTCAACCACCATGCATTCTATTCCCACCTCCGCCAATACCAATCCGACTCCAAGGGAGACGCCACAACATTTGGCTCTAATATTCTATATGGAGAGGTAGTGACTAGCACGAACACACTTCTTGAAAAGTAAGCATTTGGTCAATATCTGCATTTGGTCGGCTCTAACAATCAGCAGGAACACGAAGCTGCTCCGTCAGTTGCCGCAAGGTTTTACGGCTACCGCTACAGCACAAATTGCTGGACGCGGACGCGGATCCAATGTCTGGGTCTCACCAGCAGGTTCTCTGATGTTTTCAACTGTGGTGCGACACCCAATGGACAAGATTCAGACGGCACCTGTTGTGTTCCTTCAGTACCTATCAGCCATGGCAGTAGTCCGGGGAATCAAGAACTACGCCAAAGGCTACGAGAAGATCCCGATTAAACTGAAATGGCCGAACGATATTTGTAAGTGCGATGGCTTATCTTATTACTATGGAGTGTTTACTGATAGATCTCTACAGATGCACTGGATCCAGATGACCCCGAACAGAAACGGTACACGAAGATCTGCGGCATTCTTATCAACTCCCATTTCATGTCAAACGAGTACATCTCCGTCGTCGGTGTCGGTCTCAATGCCACCAACGCCTCTCCGACAACCGCCTTGACCACCCTCGCCGCACGCTACGCGTCCCCGGGAGCTGCTGCCGCTTCACCTGTCATGCTTGAGAGGCTCCTGGCTCGTATTCTGACTACGTTTGAAAGTTTGTATACCCGCTTCTTGCGCACAGGCTTCGATCGAGCCTTCGAGGCGATGTATTATGAAGACTGGCTGCACATGCACCAGATTGTCACGCTGGAGGAGGAGGGCGGTGCTCGCGCTCGCATTCAGGGTATCACGCGTGATTTTGGTCTTCTGCTAGCCGAAGAGTTGGGGTTCAATGATCGTCCGACGGGACGTGTGTGGCAGTTGCAGAGTGATAGTAACAGCTTTGACTTCTTCCGTGGGCTGGTGAAGCGGAAGGTGTAGATCAAACCAAAACAGATAAATAGGTCGAGATATCCATGTCTATAACTACTGGTTCATACGTGTGATTTTGCTCATCAACATCTTTAAAAAAAATTTAATTGTAGATCAACAGACTTAAGCGGGAACTCCTTTGAAGATTGTCCCTAGGTATGAAAATCACTTGCCGTGCGAGGGACCAGCCAGACAGAAGGCATGTTATCGTCGTCGGTAGCCGCGAATCATAGACTTTGTCCCTGTCTTTGGAATGAGAGGTCTCATCAATCGAATGTTCTCCGATATAAGCCCTCTTCTCAAATAACTCCCCATTCGGATATTATATAGCGATCCAATGTGTATAAAGACGTTAAATATGCAGTCCAAAAAAAAGTGCGTAGTATAGGATACAATGTCAAGGCATCGATTCAGCCCATGCGACCCATCGTCGGATACACTCATCCACCCTCCTTAGCGACTCCTTCTCCGCCTCGACCTCGAACCACTCCCGATGCTCCTTCCCACACTCGGGACACTGCCCTAAATCCTGTATACGCTGAGCCGCTAGCTCAAGGTGAATGAGTCGTTCCACGCGATGCACATGCGGGACTTTCCTTCCCGGTACTAAAGATGCGCTATCCTGGCTAGGGTGGGATGGCGTGTAAGGATAGTAACGGATCAAGGTCAAGTCATATGAGCACTGTTTACTCCATTCAGCAAGCCGACGGTGCACATTGCTCGTGCGTCCAATTTTCAGCCTGAGCGTTCCCGGCTTGGTTGATGTCGGGTTGGAGGCGAGAGCGTTCATGTCTTGTGCTGCACGGATTGCGTCGCTGACACTGCGTGGCTGGGTGGGTGGGCGGAGGCTGTTGCTGCTTTGTGGGGCCTGCGGTAGTAGAGAAGATGCTATGTCTCGCGCTACCGCAGATTCAGCGCTCCGTTGTGTGGTAGTCGTCGGGGGTGTCAACCAGAACATGTAGATATAGCCTTCGTCGTCGGCGCTGGATATTGGTTTGGCCAGTTCTGCAATAAGAATGGATGCTGTCTGTGGGGGAACCGTAGACGGGATCCACGATGATAAGGGCCTGTCTGACAAAGATGGTGGCACTTGCGCATGCTGCGGCCTTCCGGCTGTGGCGGGCAGTGCGACATTTTGATTTGAAGAAGGCGGAACGCCATAAGCCGGGCGAGGCGGTCTCGGCTGAAATGAGGTCGGCTTGTCATCCTCGCCGCTGTCCTCTCCGATCTGAAAGCAGCAGCAAAATGTGTGTTTCCTTCGCCGACGCTTTTCACTGGGCCTACTTTGATATGTATGGGGAGGCTTTGGCTTCGAGGAGACTGGATCGTTTATCTGGAGTACACCCAGTCGATCCAATAATGTATCGATGCTTGTCCTTGTCTTGACCGGGGTGATGCCATTCGTAGGTGGATTCGCCGAAGTATCTTGGTCTTTGTGCTGCCAGCAGTACAAGGATGCTGCATCTATAGCTTCTTGGCGAGGATCCCTCTTTCGGGGGTTAGGAGCAGGTGATGGATTTGGAGATGCCAAAGAGCGGCGGCAGGGCCGACCTTGGGAAGTGATGCCTCTACATGTTGTCGCTGGGTTTCGAGAATCTGAGCGAGGAAGCAAAGATTCTGGAGTGTTTGGAATTTGAGGCATATATGAGATGAGATCAAGTGAAAGAATGGTATATGTTGTAGATTGCTGCGACGTGAACTTAAAATGAGAAAGAAACCATTGGGGAAAAGGAAAGGACACTAGGCTATGAATTGCGGTGAGCTTCCAAAATTCAGCCCAGAGGCTACATATTCTCCACTTGGACCACGTCAGTGGGACGCTGGGCAGCTGGGAATAGGAGACTTTGTTGTTTTTGGTGATCGATTGCACCGCCACAGTGAGGCGGTGTTGGAAGTGGCTGTGCTCATGCTCATTGCCTCGGCATACTTGTACTTGATTCCTTTCATTCAGTGTACTCCGTATGCTTCAATGATTGACCTAAAGATAAAACTTCAATATGTCTTATGTTAATATCTTTCAAACCAGGCCAGTGCTTGATTCTCCGCTTCATCGGCCTGTCTACTGGCATCTTCCTGAAGGAAATCAGCCCTGACACAGAAGCCATGGCCAGCGCCCTCATAAACCACCACTTCTCCCTTTCCAGTACCGGACTCGCTGAGGAAGACTTGTTTGATCTGCTCAATGTGCGGAGGTTTCACGACCATATCTTTTTCTGCAAGCGCAAAGCTTACAGGGATTCTGATTTTCTCGATCTCGCTAGGAATCTCGAGAAAGCTCGGGTGGCCCGTAAATCCAGCATTAAGCAGTGGTTTTCCATTTGAAGCCGTGTCTGCTCCGGCAGCTAGATTGACGATATACTTTCCACCCCAGCAGAAACCAGCTCCGTAGATAGGAACCTCAGCACCTTCGTTCTCGCGTACGGACTTGAAGAAGTCCCTGATGATAGGCCATGTCACGCCGAACGTATTGTAGTACATAAAGGGCACCATTCCTGTCAGCATTGAGGCTAGATAGTATCTATAGCTTGGATTAGTGGCAAGCCCGATCCGGGCGATGTTTTATCGACTTACGGCTTGATAAGCCAAGTTGTGAGTCCGCTGGTATTGAACAACTCTTTTGTTGCAGACAGCATACTGACCGGGGCCGCATGTCCTGATATTATACTTAACGAGTTATCCTTGGGGATGACACTAGGACATACCGTTCATGAAATCAGGTAGATAAACGAGGTACTTCCCCTTTTCCGCGTAGTTATCGGCCAGGATTCGGTTGTGTTGAACAAAAGAGAGGCTGTTTTGTATGGTACGAGCAGTAGGATACTGGACCAAAGGGTAAAATGAGTGTAATTGTGAAAAGGAGGGTTCTCCTCCGAGATCTATCTTGGTGTGTGTTTACATAATCGCTACACGTGGCTGCTGACTACTAATACACCACCAGATGTAAGGAATGTACGGAAGTGCGTCATTTCTGGTCGACAGGTTGTTCACAAACTCCCACCCGAAGGCGTCAGGCACTATGATGATAATACCCCGGTGAGGTACCTCATTCAGAGGTTTGGTCGTGTAGGCTTGTAAGCCATGGAGAGAGGTGACTTCACCACGGGGAGTGCCTTGATGGATATTCCCACTAAAACAATTGGGGCACGACATGCTGCGATGAGAGTTAACTATGATAATTGCAGGATGTGAAGTGCGAGACTCCAAGTACTTAGAGATTACCCCGCCCTGCCCCGATCGCACTAAACCGGATTAGGTCGGGGTTGATATAGATCATCAATACGAGATGACAGTTCACCCAACATCAATACTAGTGATCTCGGGGGCCTTAGGCCTCCGGATAGTCATTGCGGAGTGAAGTGACTGGTTCCAATTTCCGAGGCCACGTAGTAATTAGAGTACAGGGGGAGAACAGTAGACAACTCTCCCCGCACGGAGTCTAGAACCGTCAGAACGCTCTCTCTTTTTGGCTACTCGACAAGATTGGTACTAATAGGTCTCTCAATTGCTAGCGTGCGAGCTAAATAGCTTAAAGAACACGAGTAGCCGTATCTAGCGAATGGGGATTGGGTTGCTTGGCGAGAACCGGGTATGTACTTTGCTCTATCAGGTGGGGGCTTCCTATTTCAGCCGCTTTAATGAGGGCGCTTAGAGTCAGCTGACTCAGAGTAGATTTCAGTCCGCCCGGAGATAGTCACGTGATGTATTAGTCAGGCCCTTGAGAACCCCTGGGGCCCCGGGCCGTGCGTTGCCCACCCGGATTACTTAATTGGAGTTTGATCAGAGACATCTACTGACTCATAAGAAAACAGGGACTTACGCAGTGGAAATGAGACGAAGAAGCAAAAACGCACTCGATCTAGAAGGCAGATAATCGCCGAGGAAGGCCTCTCAGTTCAAGAAGCTTCTGAATTGATCACTGGGCGGGTAGAAGCAAATGAAACCGGGTTTACAACCACGTGCAAAACACTCCCGGAATATACAACATACAGATTGCCAGGACGAGAATGAGAGACATGTCCAGATCGATCTCATATTTAGTTTTATTTAATCTAATAGCGTTTGGTTGAGATAAATGCATTTGAATTTGGGAACCTAGGTATACGAGGCTGATTCGGCTCTCTGCATGTCTGTCTTTGGAAAAAAGAAGCGATTTTAGCGGAGATGCTTCTTAAGAAAGGTAAACACTAGCTGTTTCAAGTTATTAACTGAGGGGCCAACTAAGTAATTTACTATAGAAAAGCCGCACTAAGAAATCCTAATAAATTAGGGTTCTTCTGGTAGCGATCTCTGTGAAGTGCAGCCTGCGGAACCTTCCGCATTTAATGTAAACCCGCAATACTATAAAGAAGCCAGGGTCTCCTGAATGAAGACTACCACCTTTTTAAGCCCTTCAATCATCTTTGCATCTTCTCCTAGCATCTTCTCCTAGCATCAGTCGCAATGTCTCTCCCTCCTGCCGAAAAGCTCCTCTCTTGCTCTCAGGAAGAATAGTCCGTATTTCACCATCACTCCCACCGCTGCCACTGAGGTACAAAAAAGCTGACTATACCTTGGCATCACAGTTCGCGACAAGTATGAGTCTGCGAAAGAGACCATTGAAGCCAACATATCGAAATCACTCGGCGTACCATGGACAATTGAAGTGAACCCTCTCGCATTGTATCCTTACGCGGACTCGTCTTACGCCAAGGATGACATGGGTGCGATGATTGTGGAGTAAGCTCACACCTCGTATCGGCACCAGTGGATAGTGCTGATCTTCTACATAGATACTTCAACAGTGCCGCGTCTCACCTGAACAACGTTGACGAGTTCGCAAAGACCGAGATCAACAAGTTGGCCCCCAACCATGTCCTGTCATTGGAAGTCGACAGCACGCTTGACCTTAAATACAACGGCGTTAATTTCAACGATGGCAAGTTACGAATTGTCGTCACCCCGAAGGGGCTTGGTGTCAACATAAATTCTGCCCTAAAGAGCGACAATATGAAGCTAGCACTCAATGAAGCTGCTGCCAAAGCTGGCGGCCAGGATGACATCAGCTACATTGCTCGTGACAACATTGGCAAGAAATATGATCCAGTCATCACCAATGTGAAGAATCGGCTGGAGCAACTTTTTGGTCAACCATTTGAGCTTCTCCCGAACTTTGAAGACAACTTCGTCAAAGTGAAAACGGAGAGTCAAGTCCCAGGCACAAAGCTGCCGGAAAGCTGGGAAACAAACTTTGGCTCTACGGCTCTAGAATACTTCGAGTCGTTAGCTACATATCTTGATCGGAACGACTTTGGCAAAGATGATTTGCTCAAAGAAGGATTCCTCGAGTCCGTCGACAAGAGTAAGGTCGCACTGCGTGTGGTGGACAAGCTTGAAGGGTCCAGCAACTACAATGAAGCTAAGATCGAGGATGGGGTGCTATATCTGCAGACCAAGGCAGGTACTTGGGGTGTGAATACAAATCAAGCATCCCAGAAGATTGTGGATCTCCTATAGGCACCACAAAACAAATACATATCTATCCAGCTTGGTAGAATTTATATTTAACTATGCAATATACTTTATAATCTCTTTTATAGCTTAGTGCCCATGTTCACATGAACCGCCTTAGTCTGGCTATATGCCTCCAGACCCGCCTCTCCCAACTCGCGTCCAATGCCACTCTGCTTCACACCACCGAAAGGAATGCGCGGATCACAGTCTTGGCTACTGTTAATCCAGACCATACCGGACTCAATCTCGGCGGCCACACGGTGAGCACGCTCCAAATCCCGCGTGAAGACAGACGCACCTAGGCCGTAAGTGCTATCGTTGGCCCGACGAATAGCTTCTTCCTCAGTATCAAAGGGGAAAATCACGACGACAGGACCAAAGACTTCTTCGCGAGCGATGCGCATAGAATCCGTTGCATTGACAATAACGGTAGGTTGAACAAAGTACCCATTCTTGATCTTCTCGTCAGTCGGCGTGTAGGCAGCACCGCCAGTGAGAACAGTAGCTCCTTCGCTCTTGGCGATTTCAAAGTAGGAGAGGATGCGCTCATATTGCGCACGTGTCACCTGCGGCCCGTGGGAGACTGTCTCGTCCCACTGGTCACCGATCTTCATACTCTCCACCGTCGCCTTGTAACTAGCAGTGAAGGCTTCGATGATATCGCGGTGGACGAAGATCCGCGAGGTGGCGGTACAGATCTCGCCTTTGTTGGACATGATACCGCCGTGCGACCACTTGACCGCTTGCTCCATATCCGCATCCGGGAAAACCAGCAACGGGGACTTGCCGCCTGTTTCGAGCGTGATGTTCTTGAGAGTGCCGGCGGCCATCTTCATAATCTCCCGGGCGGTTATTGTTGATCCTGTGAAAGCGACCTTGTCGACCAATGGGTGGGAAACGAGCGCGGCGCCGGCCTCGCGCCCGTAGCCGTTGACGATGTTTACCACACCCGGGGGAAATCCGGCCTTTTTGATCAAAGTACCGAGAATGAGAGCGCTAAGAGGGGTCTGCTCGGCCGGCTTCAGAACAATTGTGTTTCCACATGCTAGTGCAGGGCCAAGCTTCCAGGTGGCCATTGAAAGGGGGTAGTTCCATGGAATGATCTGGCCAACTACTCCAATGGGCTGGCGGATTGTGTAGGCGAGCTTTCGAGATGTCGTGGTGATGGTTTGACCAAAGGTCTTATCAGCCCAGCCGCTGTAATAGCGAATTGTCGAGATTGCCTCGGTGAGATCATCATTGAGGGCGACATGGTAGGGTTTTCCTGAATTGAATGAGCAAATTGACTTTTCTGAGTGATTTACAGACATACCATTATCCCAAGCTTCAATAGACGCGAATAACTCTCTGCTCTCTTCCATCAGATCAGCGAGTCGGGCCATTAACTGTCCTCGCTCTGTCGCGGGAAGTAATTTCCATGAGGGGTGGACCAGCGCCGCTCTGGCAGCCTTCACGGCGCGGTCGACATCTTGGGCGCTTGCTGCTTGAACGGTGGCAATGGGTTTATCGGTACTTGAAAATAGTTAGTGATATGTACAACAGCGATTTCGATAATGACATACGCGGGGTCAAGAGAGGTGATGGTCTGGCCTCCTGTAGCGGATACAATTTCATTGTTAATGAATAGACCAGTGGGCTGTCTGTATTTGTGCCCGTTAGGCGTATATATATCAATGAAGAGGCTCATTTTGTGAGTTAAACAGTTTTCAGAGATTCCAACTCTCGAGGCGCGTGGGGTATGATATAGTACATTTCTCCAATAAGGTTAAGCCCATTCAGGCAAGTCCTTCCGATATACTCTCCGCGGATGTTTGAGGTTAGTGGATCCGAGATCGAATGATAGAATAGTTAACTATCGTCAATTTCTCTTAATCGTAGTATTTTCAATTATCTAATTATTCCATAGCCATCTCTCATGTCAGATCAGGGAGTCATGTTTAGCCCTAATGCGCCACTCGGAGCTTGTATTTTTCTCTCGGCTCTGTTTGGCTGAATATGTATGTCGCGAGACTAATTCGGTACGCTTCAGATATGAGGTTAATACAATCAAAAGAAAACAAACTAACAAGCTCAATATAACCGAAAAGTGACAAATATATTGTTCTGCTGCCAAAATATGATATGGCGCACTGGCGGCTATCCATGGATACACTGCCGTAGTAGTAATCCAGGTACTTTGGGTAATTTTCTGCCAGTCTAAATCCAGGCATAATAAGGCAGATATCAGACACCAACCCTGCAAGCTAGAGTATTTGGGCTGTGGCCGCTCTGCCCCTTCGCAGTTTATGCTTAAAACACTGTGCGAGGACTGAGAATATGTCAAGTTGATTCATCTATTCTAAGTGGCTACTACACATCTGCGCGAAGAGACTCGTATCCCTGTTACAGATATTCTGAACGTCTTCATGCTCCTGATACCCGCGATAGATGATAAATAGGTGTGTCGCATCCTCTACGACACATAGCCGGCTGTTGATCTCTCGTCTCTGGAGTGCTTCGTACGTACGCTGCTCTTGCTGTCACGGGATCGGCTTGCCATCTTGAGGGTGTATGGGAAATGTTGGTGTTGAGTGCGCACCGCCACGGATTTGCAACAATGGACTAACAGCCCTAATCGCTTCCTCATTGGGGGGCTCTGGTTCCTCGCGCCGTGTCAGTCCCAGGCCATTTAGGAGGGCGCGGAGCCAACAGCTGTTCCAGTTCATGTATAGTGCTAATTGACTGCACGGTTCAGTCTCCTCAGTCGCGGACAACTAGCCCTCAATGGCTCATTTAGTTGGGAGACACTGCAGCTCGCGATCGGTCTGTGTATCATGGCAGGCAAGGTAGTTTGATCAGTTCGTACGTTGTGCTGGTGCTTTTTGATCTACCCGACTTGTTAGGGTGTAGCTAAAACCCGTCTTCGTGGTCAAGAGGGCAGTAGAAGGCAAGGATGACATATAGTGGCTCAATATGTCGTGGTGTACAATTCCGCCCCAGACCATCAATTCGCTTGAAGACCACCGTGTGAGCTCTACCGGGCAAATAACTACATCCGGTTGCAACATCTTCCGAATGTGCGTCGTGGGTCGGACCAGATCGCGGGTGGCGTGGATGCAGTTCGTTCGCGGATAGCACTGTATCATAAGCTGGCAGCATTTCAGATCTTTCTTAGTGTCCGAGACAGCGGAGCGCAGAAATTGACGACTGAAGTTTGGGCGGGTCGTTGCCATTAGCGACAATGTGATGCCAGTGAACGTATCTGTGAGACTCTCCAATGGAACAAGGGCACTAACATTGCCCTTGGTTGTGTCACTAGGTCCAATTCCAAGTTCCAGGGCCTGGACCTGTTGGCCGTTCTGAAACCGCGGCAAAATGGGTGAGGTACTGGAGCAGCATGAGAACGCCCGTTTTGAACATAGGAGCGTTCGTGTACACGTCTTCAAGAAAGTCACGGATGGATACATTCCGGAATATCAATAGAGGGTCCAGTGCACCAGATAGACAGTCAGCCTGTCTCGACCTTCTTCATTGTGTATGTATCCACAGATACTATTCATCCAAGCTGGCACCGAAAAGGAAGGAACGACAACTCTAAAATAAAAAAAAGAGTAATCAAACATATACGAAAGAAAACTCCTTGATCTTCTGTGCATTTTCTAGATTAAAGCTAGATAGACCTCACTACTATAGAGATGAGGTTGAAATAAGGTCGCCTGTCAAATATCTCCTCACCAGTTATAGTTGAACAGTGAGGATCAAACACGACAATATTCAAATTCTGATTGGTCAGGATTCTACAATTCGCTTAATTCCTAGGCTACCATGGTTCATTTAGTATAGCTTGACTGTTTGATCAGAACAGCTTCAATCGACTCTCACTGATCCTTCAACCTGTAATGAGTTTTCTCTCGATTAGAACTGAAATTTTGAAAATTCAACATCTACTTGCAATGCGGAAGCCTCAAGATTTTTAAAAAATCGCCTATAACTGGAAGGATCAATCATTTCAGCTTGGAATCACTTCAAACTTAATCAAAGTTACGTGATCTACGTGCCTGCCTGTAGGTATATAAGTAGAGCCCCCTCCCCCGCGCGCGCGTAATGTAAGTCTGTAAGTCTATAAGTCATGAATTCCAAAATGGCAAGCAATAGCACACAGAACGAAACTCCTGCCTGGCTGAATTCCGTGCTCCCTGGCGCTTATGGCCTCATTGGCCTAGTTGTCGTCGTGGCCCTGGTCTTCTGGGCCATTCGGTACGTGCAGCCTGTTTTGATCGTATTGTCCGTCATGCTAATGAAATATATGTCCAGCCTTTTGGCCCTTGAGGCCAGACTTAGAGACCCCCAACGGGCGCTAACAGATCACTTCGTCCGGCAAGTTGCCGAAATCAAAAAGGCCGAGAAGGCCGCAAGAAAAATGGAGGAGAAAAAGAAGAAGACCAAGGAGAAGGATGAGAGGAAAATCCGGTGGACGGAATGGTTGCTGGAGCTGTTTTTCGGTTAGCACACCCCAGAAGTACTTTTTGGAAGCATAGGTGTTGGGAAGGATGTATACTAACCAAGAGTGTCCGTCCCTAGGCTTTGTTGAGCTTTCCCTCTCCACCAATGCCATGCTCCGGCGCCTCGGCAGCAGCAGCAGCAGCAACAGAGAGACCGACCACCCCGTTTTCCACGTCATTGTGGAGGAGTCTGGTGCTTCTACGGCGGAAGCGGAAGCCGAGCTTGAAGACATCGACTGCGATGGCATTGTGATCCGATGGGTGCGTGTCCCGCGCGGGTACCGTCTCCCGCCCAAGTCCAAGAAGGCTAGCACATTGGCCGAAGTTGTCGGTGCCCTCCAGGGCAGAAAATAAATCTTTGATCGTCTTGTCTCTACCACCTACCCCGGAACCGGCCGGGATGGTGGATTCGCTCATCCTTTCCTCACGCAGGCCGTAACCCCCTGCTGTTACTTATTGTATATACATGTCGCTTGCCATGTTGGCTTGTTTGGGCCCTTGTTGGCCCTTGTTGGACCTCGTTGGACCTCGTTGGACCTTTTTGGCCCCTTTTGGCCCGTCCTTGTTTGTTCTGGATTTTGGATTGTTTGTTTGTCCTCGGTGTTTTGGAGTTTGTTTTTCTTTATTTATACCCTGGCGTTGGTGTTGGCGGTTGTGCTGTTTGTTCTGTTCTGTTATCATTATTGAAATATTATTTATTGGATCCCTCTATGTTGTTGGACCAAAACGATCCTGATCATATCTTTATCCTCTCTCCATTGTAGATCTGCATGCTCACGATACTTGTGATGAGGAAAAAGGGTGGGGCGGCAGAAAAACGCTACCCGTAAGCGGTCAGCCGACTCACATATCTGACAGCCAATCAACACGTAGGATTTAACGGGCACTCACAAGTATGTAATCAACCTCCAGGGCTTCCAAGGTTGGAACCTTCAGAAAACCTTCTACGCAACTAATCCATTTTAGGAGGGTGATCACACTATGACTCAGGGATACCTATTAATGAGGATCGTTTTTCTATGCTTTCTTCAATCTTCTCCTGGTCCTGATGCTCATATTTTACAAGTTTTCTCCCAAAGTACTTTCCAAGGCTTTCTTATCTTTTTCTCGTGCTAAGCTTTCCACCCACGATCATGGAGCTTTTCTTCTATTTTCTCAAACGCGGAGCAGTAGATATCTACCGGCAAATATTCGCCGATATGCTTCTTGCCGAGCACGCTCTGCGCGAACTATCGCAGCGTGAGGAATCGCTACATCATAGAGCTATGGCCTTACAAAAGACCGTAGCTATCGAGTCTGATCGGCTCCAGCCTGACAAGACCACCCCTGTCGAGTCTACCAGGGCCGAGCTTGAAAATACGAATCAACAGCTTAAAGAGATCCAACTGCAATATTCAAGAAAGGAGTATGCCCTTTACCGAGCGACCTCTGGGCTTCCACCGTACTTTAAAGAACTTTATGATAACTTAAGGCGTGATCCTAACTGGTTTATGCGAGAAGAACTAGTTCAAGATTGTTCGGATCGGGGCGGCTGTTGCAGCCGGGAATGTGGATGCTGCGCACAGAGGTATATATTTCAAAGGAAGAAAGGCAGAGGTCATTGCACTACAGAGTGCCATTGCTGTATCGGCTTTCGTGGCTTCGAGTTTCCAGAAGAAGATAAAGAAGAGATTAGAAGAGATTTCAAAGCTAGGGTTGAACTCCAGGACTTGGGGTACTTTATGAAGCTGACAAGGTGGTCTTTTTGCCCATTAAAGCGCCAAAGGCCTTCAAAACAAAAGCTCCGGTGGCATCGAATTTTCACCGGTTCCACCGATGAGAAAGAGTCATGAGGATGGCCGTACTTTGCTTGAATGCCGCTACTTTGCTTGAATGTCGCTACTTTGCTTGAATGTCGCTACTTTGCTAGAGAATGATCTGCTAGGGGAATAGATTCTTTTGACTAGTTACGTAGATAAAGTTGATGGTGTCACAGATCAGCCAGCTATTACAGAAGAAAATGCCAAACATCGCTTCATTCTGGCAGTAATATGTTGCTCAAATAGTCCGAGTGTTGAGGTAGAGATTGCGCACGTGCTCTTTCACCCGTGGGTGTGCATGATGGACTTGAAGGCCTCGCAGCTTTCATTCTCGTCGTACAATGAGATAATGCGGATTACATATCTTTTTGCGAAGACGCATAGCGTCCGCCTGGTAAGAATCGGAGCCTTGAGTGTTCTGAATCTAGCAAGACGTAATCATGGCGAGCAGTTCCAGAGGGGGAGGGGGAGTAGTGCTGGAATATTCTGTCTGCCATAAGTTGTAGTAGCCCACTGGATACAGAGTACGAGGGAAGAAGATGTCGACCAGAAATGACGCACTTCCGTACGTTCCTTACCTCTGGTATTGTATTAGTAGACGGATTAGTCTTATATAAGATTCCGATGAATAGCAGGGAATTAGAGCTAGAATAGAAAGAAGCCTTCATCCCGATGATAGTAATGCATCCTAAATAGGAAAACTTGGCCCAACAAGGCAAGTCACTCCTCTACAGCTCGGAATGAGTAGAATCATGAATATGGAAACGGTAAGAGATTCCAGCAAAATCCAAGTATATCTAGATTATGACCACTTCCAATTCAACCATCCTCATTATCTTTCCGAACCAAATCATCTCTTCCTCTATACCTCTACAAACCTCCAAAATGGCCTCCCTCGGCGGAATAATGGTGGCCCTAATCACCCCCTTCACAGACGACAAGACCGCAATCGATCCAAGCCGCCTACAAGCACACATCGAGCACTTGATCACAGCCGGTGTGCACGGTCTCGTTCCAGGCGGCAGCACCGGCGAATTCACCACACTGACAGTCGCCGAGCGCAAGCAACTAACCGAGCTCTGTGTGAAGTTCGCCGCAGGCCGGGTGCCCGTCATCGCCGGCACAGGCAGCCTCTCCTCGGCCGAGGCAGTCGAGCTCTCCGTGCACGCCGCGCAAGCCGGCGCCGCCGCGACGATGGTCGTGCCCCCGTTCTACGACCCCGTCAACCTGGAACAGCTGCATGAGCTGCTGTCCGAGATCCACACGGCCTCGGGCCTGCCTATCGTCTACTATAATATCCCTTCTGCGTCTGGGATCACGCTCTCCCCTGCGGAGATCGCTGGTCTGTCCAAGGTCGGCGTCAAGTACCTCAAGGATACCTCTGGTAATGCGCCCGCGCTGACGGAGCTGATCTTCGGTCTGTCGGATCAGATTGTCTCGTTTAATGGGTGGGATACTTTGACTTTCTATGGTCTTGCGGCTGGCGCGCCCGGTGGTATCTGGGGTGCGGCGAATATTATTCCAGAGTTGGCGGTTGAGCTTTATGAGGCGGTTTCCGTGAAGGGGGATTTGAAGCGCGGGCGGGAGATTTGGGCGAAGGCTTGGCCTATTTGCAAGTTTTTGGAGTCGCATAACTATGCGGCTGCTGTCAAGACTGGTGTTGAGTTGATTGGGCAGCCCACTGGTGGCTTACGCAAGCCTTTTGCTCTTCTCAATCCGGAGTTGACGGCGGAACTTAAGCAGTTGTTGCAGAATGCTGGAGTTAAGACTGTTTAGTATTCTGTTCTGGATTATGATGTTTGAATGTCGGAATGAGAATGTCACACTTACTATCCACTCAATTTATTGAATATACAACATTGGAATCTTCTTCGTTGCGTCGTAAAAGTGCATAATAGAGATCGCAGAATATAAAAAAGATGAAAATAGCCGCCTGGATCAGCAAAACAATGGCCATACCTGTCCTTGCTTCACAGTATCAACCCACGATGGCATCGATTCACCCCGGTTCGCGGTCAGATGCTCATCCTGCTTGCGCCACACTTCAGTGATAATATTTCTGGCCGTTCCAAAAGCGGCAAATCCACATATTGAGCTCGCCCTATCTAACATAATCATAATCGCCTCCCGCCTTGCGGTTGACATTGCCTCACATCCTGCAATGAA